TCACCTGATGCACGAAGGGGAAGACGAGGAGCCCCAATTTCCTCCCCACGTAGACGGTGTCGACGGCGAAATAATACTTCAGTCTCCCCACCGGGATGAAGCGGTCGAGCTGCGGGGCGGGGGGGGCGGTTAAAAACCCGGTAACCGGCCACGCACCCCCCCCTTTTCCCGTCCCCCCCAAAAACTCACGTTCCGGTCCACGATGTCTCGGCCCTGACTGGCCAAACTGGTCCCGTAGGCCATGGCCAGGCTGGAGACCGGCTCGGCCAGGAAGGAAGCGGGCGGTGGGTAAGGGGAGGAAGAGGAGGAGGAGGCCGAAGCGGGCGGCGGTGCCCCGTAGCCCCGGCCCGGTTGGGCCCCGCCGCCGCCGCCTCCCCCCGCGCTGGTATCATCGAAAAGCGGGTGGGGATCCGCCATGCGCGGGGCCGCCGCCGGTAAACGGCGTTTGGAGGCTGCGGGGAGAAGAGGGGTGAGGTCGGGGGGAGGGGGACACCCCCGTTTTTGGATCCCCCCCCCCGCCGCCCTTACGGTGCCGCGTCGCCCCGTCCAGCTCCATCGCGTCTCTTCCTTCCGCTTCCGGCCCGCGCGTCACGTGCTCCCCCGTAGCGTCGCGCTGATTGGATAGGCTGCCGGAAGTTGTTGGCGCGCCCCCCCGCCTCCTGAGCTCCCCCCTCCCCTTTCCGAGGGACCGGAAGTGAGGGAAGCGGAAGGGGGAGGAGCCACGACGCCGCGCCCGAATTCAAAATGGCGGCGCCTGCCCGGCCCCTTGTCGCCATGGCAACGGAGGCGGCCTGGCGGGGCCTAGTGGTCTCCAGGGCTATAGTGTCCCCAAGGATGTCCCTAAGGCCACGGTATCATGGCCATGGGGCTGGCAGTGGTGTCGTAGCGTCGCGCTGATTGGATAGGCTGCCGGAAGTTGTTGGCGCGCCCCCCCGCCTCCTGAGCTCCCCCCTCCCCTTTCCGAGGGACCGGAAGTGAGGGAAGCGGAAGGGGGAGGAGCCACGACGCCGCGCCCGAATTCAAAATGGCGGCGCCTGCCCGGCCCCTTGTCGCCATGGCAACGGAGGCGGCCTGGCGGGGCCTAGTGGTCTCCAGGGCTATAGTGTCCCCAAGGATGTCCCTAAGGCCACGGTATCATGGCCATGGGGCTGGCAGTGGTGTCCCCAAGGCCATGAAGTCCCCATGGTGTCCCCAGGGCCATGGCATCATGGCTATGGGGCTTTTTGTGGTGGCCGTGGTGTCACCGGGGCTGTGGGATGTCCCCAGGGATGTCCCCAGGGCCATGGTATCTTTGTCCCCAAGCCATGAGGTCCCCATGGTGTCTCCAGGACTCTGGTGTCATGGCTACGGGGATTTTTGTGGTGGCCATGGTGTCACCGGGGCTGTGAGATGTCCCCAGGGATGTCCCCAGGGCCATGGTATCTTTGTCCCCAAGCCATGAAGTCCCCATGGTGTCCCTGTGGTGTCCCCACGGTGTCCCCATATAGTCCCTGTGACGATGTCCCCGTGGTGCCCTCATGTCCCCATAGTGTCCTCATAGTGTTCCCATGTCCCCATGGTGTCCCCATGGTGTCCTCATGGTGTCCTCATGTCCCCATGGTGTCCCCACGGTGTCCCCACAATGTTCAAATGTCCCCATCGTGCCCCCATGATATCCTCATGCTGTGCCCGTTGTGACCCATGCTGTCCCCACGGTGCTCCCAGGGTGTCCGCATGTCCCCATGGAGTCCCGAAGGTGCCTTCATGTTGTCCCCATGGTATGCCCTTGAGGATCGCCTGTCCCCATGGTGTCCTCATGATGACCTCCTATCCCCATCTC